CACTGTCTTTCCACATCCTCTTTCCTTCCTCTGTTTCCTGGCTGCTGCTCCCAGTCATTCTTCGGCTGCCAATAACTAGCAAGCACCATGCACAGAAGATTCAGATGCACTAGCACACCCTTGTGATTCTCACTAACGCTTCTCCAGCGTGTTGCGTGGGGGTGTCTCTCACACACACCCTCCATGGGGCTTCCTCCTTGCCTCCCACAACTGCACGCTCCTCTGCCAATGCACCTCTGTCTCGCCCCCAAAAATACTTTTCTCTATCCTTCCCAAACACAGAGCCACTTATTAAGAAGCTGGTCACTAAGGAGTCAAGCCTAGGTGAAGATTGCAAAGATTGCAGCCAGAGGCTGAGAACCACAGGAGAGGACAGGTCAAGAATTCATGCATTTTAAAAGCACAGGGAGAAGAAAATGTTTGGGGAGAGTGTTACTGGAAAACTAGCCCATTCCCCCAAAAAATCCCACTGCTTCTGGCTTTTTGAAGCAAAGATTATGGGCTTTTTCTCCGCTAAGGGCAAATATGAACAGAGCCCCAAACGTACAACCAAAGCCTTAATCAATAAATGCCCCCCCTCCACTTCAAGGATCAAGCCGTCTCCTCCACCCTATTCTTAACTGATGGTGCTGACTCCCTCGAATTAAATGGGCTTTATTTATAAGAGCTGCAGCAAATACCTTGATATATAAAGACTTTTTAGTTCCACTTGTCAAGTTTCTCCCAGGCACATAAATAAGAAAGGCCAGCTTTTGCCTGCTGCTTATGTATGCTGTGTTAATGCAGACTGCTGTGGAAGAAGAGGAAGTATACCCCAAAAAGGGGAAAGAGTGGGGGGGGGAGCTGTTCCTTTAATCAGAAGATACTGGCATGTGTGTTTGAAATCCAGCTCTCCCATACAGACAAAACATGCCTGGAGCAGACATAAACTCTTATAATATTGGAGGAGGGGTGGAGGGTTAATCAGATTTAATACTAGAGCGGACACAAAGACAATTCAGATATATTTTGCGGGGGAAGCATAGGAGAGACTTGGACCTGAGGTGGGGGGGGGGGGACGGCGGAGAGAGAAATGAACCCCTTCTGGGGAAAGAGATGGGGAGAAAGAGGCAAGTTATTGGAAAGCCCAGATAGATAACATGCTGGCGTCTTGGAAAGGACAGAAATAGATGCCTTACCTTATCAAACTACTCCTCCTTTTGTACCTGATCTGCAATCATAAATACTTGGAGAAGAAGAGGAAGCTAAGTTGAAGGCTGGGTCTTGTTTTAGGAAAAGAAAAAACAAGGGGGGAGCAAGCAACGTGCATGTCTTTAATGCTCCTCTTCTGGACAGGGACTCGACGGAAGAATGTGCCAAGCTGATTCCTTAGTATCCATTAGCTCCCTAGAGGATTCCAAATGTCTTGAGGAGAGGAGACGGGAGAGGCGTCCAGGAGAGGTAGGATGGAGAGAAGAGGAGAATTTGGTGGGGAAGGGGAGGAAGGAGAAAAGACAAAAATCGCAAAATCTGTGCCTTTCTACATCCAGCGAGGGGCTGTCGCTGCGACCGATCCTACACCAACGCCCCCCTCCCCATTCACCCCACCCCCCCAAAAAAGGAGCGGGAGAAAGGAGAATTTCAGAAGACGTGTCTCGCTACAAACTTGGCAAGCCAAACGTAGAAACACGTCGGGAGAGAGGAAATTAATTTCTAAAATTATTTGCGGAGAGAAAAGTCACTTGCAAGGAGGGGAATTGCGGCTCTGTATCTATAGATAGATATCATGCAAAATCCCCAAGGGTGATTTAAAAAAATTATTATTATTATTTTAAATTTTTTTTAAAAAAAAAGGAAGGAGAGAGGGATGGAGGGAGAAGGAGGATCAGGGAAGAGCAGCACACAGTGGCCCAAGGAGACGGGATCACGAAGGAGACAGAAGGCTGTACATCCGTAGGCAAATGGAGCATCAGCCGCTTTCCAAATTCGAGCAAAGGCTCCTGCAGTTCAGTTGCCTTTCTCGCCCCCCTTCCGCTGCTGCTGCTGCCGCCGCCGCCGCTGCTACCTGTAGACATAAGAGGGAGGCGCGGGCACGCTCAGGCGCGCGCGCGCGCTCACGGGCACACGCCGCTACGCGCGCCGAACAGCCTCGCAGCTGTGTGCGGAGCGCGCGCGCGAAGGGGCGCGCTTGCACAGCAGCAGCAGCAGCAGCCGAGGCGAGCACAATCAAAGCTTAGGAGAACAAGGAATGCATGCAGGCTTTCGTCCACCTCTAGCTTTTCCCCATCTCCATTGCATGACTGGGGAGAAGTTGCAGAGGGAGGTGGGGGGCAATCCCTGGGAAGCGAGGGGATCCCTCGCTTGGGGAGGGGTGTGTGTGTGTGTGTGTGTGTGTGTGTGTGTGTGTGCCTGCACGCGCCTGCGCGCAAAGCCCTCGTCCAACCCGCCCCCGCTGTTAGCGTTCACTGACACACACCCCCACATACACACACACATATGCATGCACACACCTCCCGTTTTTCCGCTTTGGCTGGCAGCAGCGTGGTGGCAGCACTGAGGGTGACAAAGGTCCCGGCGTCAACTGTGACGTGGAACAGGGAAATTAAAGAAAAACGGGGCGGAGGAGGGGGGATCCACACTGTGTGTGTGTTTCGGGCCGGGGGTGGAGACGGAGGGAGGCAGCAGCAGCGTCTCTGCAAATGCTGGCCTTGAAAGTCCTTCCCCATCCTTTCTCTCCCCCAATATTCTTGTGCAGAGGTGGAACTTCCAGAGAGAGAAGCAGCCGGCAGTATAGAATCGCGGAGTTGGAAGGGAACCCCCGGGGTCATCTAGTCCAACCCCCCGCAATGCAAGAATTTCATCTCCTTCGTGCATGGCAGGTGGCCACCCAACCTCCGCTTAAAAACCTCCATTGTAGGAGAAATCCACACACTCACCACAAGGGAGCCTACTCTAGTGTCGAACTGCACTTACTGTCAGAAAGTTCTTCCTGATGCTTAGTCTGAACCTCCTTTTTTGTAACTCGAATCCACATCTTCCATGTGACAGCCCTTCAGATATTTGAAGATGGCTATTATCTCCTCTCAGTCTCCTTTTATCCAGGCTAAACATACTCAACTCCCCCAACAGTTCCTCATAAGGCTTGTCTTGTCTTCCAGACCCTTGATCATCTTGGTCAACCCTTCTCAGCACACATTCCAGCTTGTCAACATCCTCCTTAAATTGTGCTGCCCAGAATGGGATACAGTATTCTAGTTGTGGGTGCCAACTTGAATAAAATATTGTGGGGGCCCAGATAAGCCACACCCAGCATAATCAATTGCATGACACAGTGTGCGCATACCACTGTGCCCATCAACTTTGTGGGGGCCCAGATCCCTCAAATATTTTATTGTGAGGGCCCAGCCCCTAGGAGTTGGCTCCTATGCCAAGACAGAATAGAGTGGAACTATTACTTCCCTTGATATGGACAAGGAGTCAGCAAACCTTTTCAGCAGGGGGCTGGTCCACTGTCCCTCAGACCTTGTGGGGGGCCGGACTATTCTTTGGGGGGGGGGAGAACAAATTCCTATGCCCCACAAATAACTCAGAGATGCATTTTAAATAAATGCACACATTCTACTCGTGTGTGTCAAAACACGCTGATTCCTGGACCGTCTGTGGGCTGGATTTAGAAGTTGATTGGGCCACATCTAGCCCCTGGGCCTTAGTTTGCCTATCTGGACAATATCCTTCCATTTACTGCACCAAGCACATGACTTCTCCCCTCAGAGAATCCCGGGAACTGTACCTCTGTGAATGAAGGGGAGAACTACAGTTCCTATGGTTCTTTGGGGAAGCCGTGTGCTTTAATTGTGTCAAAGGCATGTTGTTAGACATGTTTCAGCTGTTCACATTTAAAAGAAAAATTCCCTTTCTGAAACAACAGGCGCAGCCATCCTTCCACATTTGGACTTCTCTAACTGTGCTGTGGTTCTCCAGCCAAGTAATGTGTGCAAAAATGCATATACTAGGATGAGGTGTGCACTTTTGTTCAGTGGTATAGTGCTTCATCCATCCACAGCAGTGACCAGAGGAGAATTGACTGCTGGGAGGTGCGCAGCAAAAAGAAACACTGTATTTTTCGCTCCACAAGACGCACCTTTTTCTTCCTAAAAAGTAAGGGGAAATGTCTGTGCGTCTTATGGAGCAAATGCGTGGGCCCTGGAGCCTAATTGCCCAGGGGAGAAAAGCAGATCATGCTTTTTTTAAAAAAAAAAAGAAAGAAGGAAGTGGGTGTTGAAACAAAGCCGCTAATCAGCAAGCGATTGGGGAGGGAAATAAGGGATGCTAGCAATAAAGGAGGCTGCCTGGGAGGGGGGAGGTAAAGACAATGAACTTGCAAGGAGAGGAGACAGGAAGACTAAAGAAATGAGGAGAGAAATTAGAAGAAAAGGAGGACCAAAAAACTGCTCCAGTTAAGGAAAAGACACTAAGGCAAACAAGGGAAGGGAGTGTTGAAAGGAAGCAGCTGATGGGCAAGCAATCGGGGAGGGAGATAAGGGATGCTAGAGATAAAGGAGGCTGCCTGGGAGAGGGGAGGTAAAAGCCCATGGATCCTCAGGATTTTTGCATTGGGTTACCTCAAATTCACCTTCAGATCACATAGCATGTCCATGGCTACAGCCTGCACCAAAAAATCACGCACCCACTCTTATGTGGGGCCGCAATGGCACAAAAACATGGTTACAACGCATGGATCCACATGGATCCTCAGGACTTTTGCACTGGGCTACCCCAAACTCACCATCAAATCACATGTCTGTGGCCACAGTATGAACAACAAAAATCATACATCCACTGTTTCATTCATTTTTTTTTCTTGTTTTCCTCCTCTCAAAACTAGTTGTGCCTTATGGTCAGGTGCATCTTATGGCAGCATCAGCACAACCGGATGCCTTCAAAACATAGAATCATAGAATTATGGAGTTGGAAGGGACCATGATGATCATCTAAGTCCAACCCCCTGCAATGCAAGAATATGCAACCATCCCATATACGGTGATTGAACCTGCAACCTTGGCATCATCAGCACCACACTCTAACCAACTGAGCTATCCTCCCACATCAGTCTCTACAACCAAAGCAGGCACTCTAACTCTACAACACCCCCGAAGGCGCACTCTTCCATTGCCAGACGTCTGTGCCAATAACAACTGCTTCTGAACATGGAAGCCCTGAAGAGCCATCGTGACTAAAGATTATGGGGACTGAAGTGAAGGGCTCTATGTCAGTGATAGAGCATCTGCTTTCCACAGCACCACTAGGTGGGGATGGGAATGTCCCCTGCCTCAAACCCTGGAGAGCCACTTCTGGTTAGTCCCCAGAAAAGTTCCCCTACAAAGAAATGTAGCCTTCTTGCTGAAGAAAAAGATTCCCCACAGAACAGAATGGTGGGAACAGGACACTGGACCAAATTGGCCTTTGGTGTGATCAAGCATTGGCTCTTGCTGTGCTCATATGTTCATAACTCCATCATAAGATGTGGTGGGACAAATGGCAGCTGCTTCCAAGGTCCCTGAATGCAAAACATATGGGGACTCTGAACCTGTCTGTTTGAGGATGCTCCATAGATAATTCAGCTACAGCTCTTCTGCTACACTGCCACCAATGCCAGCCACCTGGAATACAAACCAGGAAGCTCTTATGGCCTACAGGTGGGATGTTGGATGACCATTTGGACATCGGTGGCCTAGATATAATGTGTGAATCTGACCGTCGTCCAGGTTCCTCTTAGCGCTTGCAAATACACACCAAGAGCTCTTCTGTGAGAAAAAGGCAGAATAGCCCAACTGTTCAATCACTGCAAATGGACAAGCAGACGGGACGGAATATTGTATTCTTTTAGCGGTGGTATCGGATACATGGCAGGCTGGCCATTCTGCAGAGATTCCAAAAGATATCCCGCTTCCATGCGGTAACAGCCCTTTGTTGTCCGTGTGACATTGGGGCCTTAAACCAGAAATCTGGGCCAGCCGTGCCAAAAATGTGCTGCCTTTTTAGACGGCCAGATAAAATTGTGATTTAACACCAGGGAAATGTGAAGAGTTTGGACGGGGCTCCTTCTCTTTTACATGCCAGCTTCTAATTTCTTTGGAAACAGGGTCAGACATCCCATCTGCCGTACGGCCTGAGACGAGGTTGACTCAGTCGCATGGAGAATGGGAACCTTCTGCAGGGACCAGCTTAATCTAATCTCAGAAAAACAGGTGAGGCTCTTCTTCCTTCTGCTGGTGCCTCAAGCACAAATGGATGCCCGTCTCCTGACTCAGCTGTGGGCGAACGCCAGAGGGAGAAACCCAGAGATTTAATCACAGGTTTGTGATGCTGCATGTAATAAAAATCAGTGGAAGCTGAACCGTTAAGGCAAGTGGGGCATTGGGCAGCTTTCGATGGCTCCAGAAGCCCACACACCAGTGTCTGTTAAGAAGTGTCTGTCTGCAGGATCAGTCCAGTCCAGCTACCTGTTCCCACAGTGGCCAATCAGATGCCTGTGAGAAAGGGGCAAGCAGGATCTGGGCACAAGAACACTCTACCATTCTGCAATTTCCAGCAACTGGACTTCAGAAGCATATCTCCTCCAACCCGTGGAGGCAGGGTATAGTCCTCATGTATTGCAAACTGCCCTGTGATTTTCAGATGAAGGGCAGTATGGGAATTTAATAAACAATAACAACTGTAACTATTGATAGCCTTATCCTCTATGGATTTCTGGCTTGTTCTGGGAAGCTGCCCGACATGTATTTCCCATAATGCTCTGGAGAACCAAACATGGCAGTAAGCATTCCTGGGCAATTGTGAGAAACTTAACATGGCAAGTGGCTTGCCAGATTTAGCCACTGTTGCAACGTAAGTCTGCGTTGATATGGGCAGACTACCCACAGCACATAACTCTGTGCTTAAAAGCTTGCAAGACTGCCAATATGTTGTGGGACCAGGTTTAAGGTTCTTGTATTATGGACCCTCCAAGTGTCCCTATTTTGCTGTAAAGTCCCGGATTTACAGAAGCCGTCCTGGTTTCTGATTCGATCCCGGAATGTCCTGCTTTTCCTTAGGACGTCCCTATTTTCACTGGAGAAATGTTGGAGGGTATGGAGTTATGCGACCACTGAACCAAGGAGATAAGTATACAACCTTTAGAAGACATCTGAAGGCAGCCCTGTGTAGGGAAGTTTTCTAATGTTTAAAGTCTTATGATGTTTTTATGTATGTTGGAAGCTGCCCAGAGTGGCTGGGGCAACCCATTCAGATGGGCAGGGTAATGATGATGATGATGATGATGAATAGGACATCCCCATTTTTATCAGAGAAATGTTGGGGGGTATGGTATAAATTTCCAAGGCCCTTAATAAGCTATTTTATGAACTAGCTGGTTCCTTATATCCCTGCCTCAACAATGAGATTGTGGGGGCGGGGGGCGGGGGTCCCTGTTGTTGGTTCCCCAAGGCTCAGATGCATGGTGCATAACTACCAGAAGCCATGCAATTCATTTCCCCACTGAGATTAGACAGCTGAACCTCAGGCGCATGACAAAGACTTACTTATTCCAGCAGTCATTTTAAGGCAGGACTCAGGTTCATGTTTCGTTCTATGGTGACTTCTTATTGTTTTATTCTGTGTATGGTTTATTTTTACACACACCACCTAGAAAGGCTAAGAATCAAGCAGCATCTAAATGCTTTACATAAACAAATACAATTTGCAATGCAGCAAAGGGTAGCGGGGAACACTGATGGGGAAGGACCACAGTTCACTGGTAAAGCATCAGGCAGATGATTCGAAGTTCAGCCCCCAGAATCTCCAGGTAGGTCTGGGAAAAATTGTTGCCTGAAACCCTGGAGAGTCACTGCCAGTCAGTGTAGACAATACAGAGAAAGATGGACCACTGGTATCAGTCAGTATAAGGCAGTTTCTAGGATGTTCACCTTGCTGGGGCTTCTCAAACATGGAGCAGACCCCGACTAATGCGATGAGGAAATTGTAATTATTTATATCGCAGCATCCATGCTCACAGCGTTTTAATATGCTAAAAAAAAAAGGGAGGTCACTGTCCTTTGAAGCTTGCAGTCTGAAATTCTGAAACAGAGGAGACGGCGGTGTGGAGGGAAAAGAGAAAGAGAGCACTACCTCTCTCTTAAATAAAAAGGCTGAAATCCAATTCAGGAGCAACTAGCAAGGACAACATAAAGTCATTTTGAACCACAAATAGAGCCCTGGTGTTTTTTCCCCCCCAGCCGGTAATCACAAGTCTCTCTGCTACCCTGTGGATCTTTCCAAGTTTCTTAATTCTGAATCAGAGAAACCTCACTAGAATTTAGAAAGGATAATGAGAAATAATTGCCTGTTTAAATATCTGAGAGAGGGGGAGGAAGACTTCTGTAATCATTATCTCGGTTTTCATAAGACGTGGAAAATGAAGGGGACTGGGCCAACAGAAAACGGAGTTACACACTCACCAGCACACACATTGGGTTGTACGAGCTTAATCAACATGGTGTCCTCTACCACCATCCCTGATGACTGACCGTGGGCTGATGAGAACTGGAGTCCTACAATATCTGGGTGATCCCACAGTAGCCACCTCTGGTTTGGGAATAATGTGTTCTAATAAAGTGGTGTTTTTACAGCGATTGTTTAAAGAACAATAGAGGCCAAACATTCATTGCAGCAGGAAGTACTTAAAGAGGGAATGCTTCTTTTGCTAAGTTCTGGAAATGTACCGAGGGACACTATAAATATTTATATAGTTTTGTTTGGGGTCATTGTGCTTGTGGAGGTAAAGGATGGCCGTGCAAGCCTAGCCTTTATAAAAGAGATACGTTGTACATGTAAATAAAAATCGTGGACAGTATCCAACCATTCCAAGCAAGGGTTTCTGCTTGTTCAACAGATTTCCCCAGCTCATCTCCCTGCATGCGCCCCACATTCTCCCTGAGTCTGCTCTGGAAGGTTGGGGGGGGACCCCTGAAACAGATTTAGGGGGCGATCAAACCTATCCATTCTGAAGGAAATCAGCCCTGAGTGCTCACTGGAAGGACAGATCCTGAAGCTGAGACTCCAATACTTTGGCCACCTCATGAGAAGAGAAGACTCCCTGGAAAAGACCCTGATGTTGGGAAAGATGGAGGGCACAAGGAGAAGGGGACGACAGAGGACGAGATGGTGTGACAGTGTTCTCGAAGCTACCAGCATGAGTTTGACCAAACTGCAGGAGGCAGTGGAAGACAGGAGTGCCTGGGGTGCTCTGGTCCATGGGGTCACGAAGAGTTGGACACGACTAAACGACTAAACAATAACAACAGGGAAAGGAGAGCAGGAAAAAGTTCTGTTTTCACAAGCAGGAATCTTTGTGCTGGTAGAACATGTTCCATAGCAATACATTCAATGGAGACTGGTCATTCATGCCTCATCCAGCCCCTAGCTGCCTACCCCTCTACTTACAGCCTGTCTTGGTGGACTGGCACATCCTGCTCCTTCATCTCAGTGCTGCCCCTTGTACAACTCAGCAGGGAGGAATATGGAGACAAGTTGGCGCTGCCTATCATTGGCTCTGGCTCCACCAGCTGTTGCACTCCCTGACATCTGCCGACATTGGCTACTGCCCACAGTCAGCTGTTTTGTGTGCATCATTAGAAGGGGCTGAAGATCAGGAAGACCAAACGGTAACAGTATGGAAGATAGGAAAGGGGAGCTAAGAAGGTAACAAGACTAATGCAGACAAAGGGAGTTTAAAAGGAGAGGTGATTTTGCAAGCCCTCCGTCAGGGAGTGTCATGGACTGGCTGGATGCAAAGCATTGGTGGGAGGCACCAGCTGGGGAACCCCCATGGGAAGAAGGCTCAGAGCCAGGGGAATGGTGGTAAGAGGGAGAAGACTGGGGAGGGGTGGGTAGAGGTGTCAGAAGCTGGAGGGGCAACAGGGTTTAGTGAGCAGGAAGAGTCTGTGGCAGAGAGCAGTTCAGACTCTGATGCTTAAGCAGAGGCTGGAGAGTAAGGGAGGGTCAAGAGGCTCCTGAAGAATCCAGGGAGCCTGCCTTTCCTGCTGTGACCAGCTTCCCTCCTCCCTGGTCACTGAGAACATACAGAGAAATGAAAAGAGAAGGACAGAGATTAGCTGTGCACAGACGCAGTTTGAGACTGTGTGGGAGAAATCCTGGAGAGGTGGAGCCTTAGAGAGGGGTGGGACCTTCAGTCCTCACAACTGCTTCATCGGGCAAGACCTCCTAGGAAGAGTCTCTGAGACCATTAGGCCTGACCAGTGGTTTCTTTCCTTGAATGAAGATTTAACTTCACTGGCCTCAGGTGATCTTTTGTTGCTGACCTTAGCCCGACTCAAGTCCCGACAGGGAGCTGCCTTTAACTGACTGTGTTCTGGTGGAATAATTAGCTACCAAAGAGTGCTGCATTCATAGATCTCGTGATGGCCTGGGATTCGGACTCAGAGGCTGAACCTGAGGAATCCCAGCCTGCACAGGAGTCCCCGCCTCCAGAACCAGCTGAGCCGGGGCTGGGGCCTGAGCCTGAAGGGTCCTCACCTGTGCTGGATCCTCAGGTGCAGGCACCAGCTGAGTCTGCTCTGACCCCTGAGGTGATGGAGGACCCATTGCCTGCAGGTGCTCCACTCTCAGCCCCGTCAGGGGAAGAGGAGGTTGCCTCTGGGTCCGGTAATCCTCCAGCCTCTCCTGAGCTGCAGAGGCTCAGGGCAGAGAGGCGGAGGGAACTAAGATCCTGCAGGAGGAGTGCTCGCCTCCATGCCAGGAGAGGTGAGTCACCTATGGACCGGGGCCACCCTATGCCTCGGGACAGATAAAAGCCAGTCAGCCCCAGTCCCAGGTTGCAGGAGCAACGTTGTTGCTAGCCTGTTCCTGCCTGCACCCTGTCCTGCTCTTCTGCCAGAGTTCCTGACCCCACCCGACTCCCCACCTTGGACCCAGCTACAGCTTTGATGGACAGCCTCCATACCGCACCATCGACCTCGGACTGGACTCGGACCTCACCTCTCGGTTAGCCCTCGGGACCAGCACAGATCTACTCCATCGGTTACACTAGATGATCTTTATTGCTCCTCTTGCTCTGTGTTAATGTTATGTGAAATAACCTCAGCCTCATCAGGGCCTCTCCTGTCTTCTCTAGCGCAGCCATGAGGAAGAGACCAGAACCTTTCGCTTTCACTTTTTACTAACCACAGTTTAGTGTTCTGTATGAACCCAGACAAACTGGGGTTGTTCTTAAGGATGTGTGTGCAGAGGTAGACTTTTCTAACGGCATCTCGTTTAACAAATGCCATTTATTCCTCTTTGAGGAGGCGATTGGAAAAGACGATAGGCCAGATGGGTCTCATTTGTAATTAAAACTTGGAAGGCAATTTGATAGTGCAGGAGCAAAAAATAAAATGGGGGGGGGGGAGGAAGCAGTGGGATAAAATAAATCATCTGCTGCAATATATTATTAACTGTACAAAGCAAAGAGCCTTTCTTAACAGCATGAAATTGAATTGAAGCCTAGCTCGTACATAAGGATCTTTATGGGAGCAAGCTGAACACCATGCTTCAGGATGGACTTAGCTCCTCGGCTTGTGAGCAAACAGGGAGTTTTTCACACTCCAGAAATAAATTCACTCGGCCCAAGAATTTCCATCAGTTACTGAGTTATGTTCTCCCATAGGAAGGTGGCTCATACTAAGTCAGACCATTGGTCCATCTACCTCACTGCTGTCTCCTGGCAGCAGCTTTTCAGACTGGCGTTTCAGACAGGGGTCCCTCCCAGCCCTGCCTGGAGATGCCTGGGATTGAATCTGGTGCCTTCTGCATGCAAAGCAGATGCTCTATCGCTGAGCCACAGTACACCTGAAGGAGTGTCTCCACCCCCATCGTTCTGCCCGGACGCTGAGGTCCAGCGCCGAGGGCCTTCTGGCGGTTCCCTCATTGTGAGAAGCAAAGCTACAGGGAACCAGGCAGAGGGCCTTCTCGGTAGTGGTGCCCGCCCTGTGGAACGCCCTCCCATCAGATGTCAAAGAGATAAACAACTACCTGACATTCAGAAGACATCTTAAGGCAGCCCTGTTCAGGGAAGTTTTTAATGTGTGACATTTTAGTGTATTTTTTGTCTCTGTGGAAGCCGCCCAGAGTGGCTGGGGAAACCCAGCCAGATGGGCGGGGTACAAATAGTAAATTATTATTATTATTATTATTATTATTATTATTATTCACAATGCCTGGTGCTTATTGTCTTAGAAAAGTGCTTTGTGGAAGTATCGGGTGTATGTTTTTCTAAGGTAATGGACATACAGTGGTACCTCTGATTGCGAATGGGATGCATTCCGGAGGCCCGTCTGCAACACGAAAAGAGCGCAACCTGCAGCGGCGCATCTGCGCATGTGCCAGTTGCGATTGGCCACTTCTGCGCATACATGTGACATCATTTTGTGCTTCAGCGCATGTGCGAGCGGCAAAACCCGGAAGTAACCCTTTCTGGTACTTCCGGGTCGCTGTGGGATGCAACCTGAAAGAACGCAACATGAAGCGGACGTAACATGAGGCATGACTGTACAGTTGTACCTTGGTTCTCGAACTTAATCCATTCCGTGAGTCCGCCCGACTTCTGAAAATGTTCAAAAACCAAGGCGCGGCTTCCGATTGCCTGCAGGAGCTTCCTGCACTCAAGCGGAAGCCGCGGAAGTCACGTCGGACGTTCGGCTTCCAAAAAAAGGGTTCGCAAACCGGAACACTCACTCCCAGGTTTGCGGTGTTTGGGAGACAAAACGTTCAAGTCGCAAGGCGTTCCAGAACCAAGGTATGACTGTATATAGGTGAATAAACATGCATGTGATGCTTTTTTTAAAAAAAAAGGCAAAAACCCCTTCTGAAGAATAAGGGTGGGCCAAGATTATTAGCCAAATCTAATTTCAGTTTGAAAGCAGTGCTAAGGACCATGGGGCACTGCAAAGTTTGCATCCTATGTCATTTAGGTTGTGAATACATATACAGATGAATACATATTAAATAAATAATAATAAAATAATGGAGAGAACTAAGGATGAGGGAGAAATTCTGTTCTGTTTACGCTTAAAGGCAAGCCTACCAAATCCACACTTTCTGAAATGATCCATGAGCTGGAATGCAGCCATCTTTCAAAATTTGCATGTTTCCCACTGTTGCAATGCGGTTCTCCAGCTAAGCGTTACACACAAAAATCCGTATGTGCAGGAAAGTGTGCATAAATATGCACATTATTAGTGAAAACAACATGCAAAGATGTGTTCTGTCAGGGAGATTTGCTTAGCAAAATTGTGTATATTGGGAGGAATTTGTATGGACTTGTTTATGTAAAAATAAATCACAAGCTGATGTGGAAATGTGGTGAGATAAAATTAAACTTGAAAAGCATGTGAAACTGAAATGTACAGATTCTCCCGTCTCTAGATGGCACTCACCTAATCTCATGTGGAGCTGAATTCCACAGGGGCAGGGCCACTGGTGAGAAGACCCTGCTCTGTGTGCCCACCAGCTTAGGTGGCACAAGACAGGCTACATGGCACACACAGCTCCTGTTCTCCATCACCTTACTGCTACTCTCTGCTCACTCTCTCTAGCATCTGCTGCCTGAGGCAACTGCCTCATCTCGCCTAACAGTAGGGCCGGGCCCTCCTGAAGATATTCTCTGGCTACTTCAGGCACTGGGATATGTACATGACAGCCCATAAGAGAAATCAGTTTTGCAAGTGCATCAATTATTGCATGGCCATGGCAGTGTTAACACAAGAAGAGCCTGCTGGATCAGACCAATGACCCATCTAGTCCAGCACCCTGGGGTGGATCTACACACAGCAGGGGAAACCGCTTTGTAAAATCGCATAGAAATGTTTTGTGTTCTACAGCGCCACCTGGTGTTGCATGTTTATAATGCATCCAAAACGCTGTTTTTTGAGTAATGTAGCTGAGTCCCTGTTCTCACAGCGGCCAAGTGGGAAAGCTGTGAGGAGAATCTGAGCTCAAGAGCACTTTCCCCTCCTGTGGTTTGTAGCAACCGGTGTTCAGAAACAACGCCGCCTCCAGCTGTGGAGGCAGAGCAGAGCCATCATGCAATCTCACGCAGCATCTTAAGGAAGTTTCTGACATGTACATGGAGTAAAGAGTACTCCATACCAGAGGCCTAACAGGGCTCGGGGACGATTAATACACTCCCGTTGGTTAGAATTCTGTTGCTTCCTCAAACACCTCCTGTAGTATCACACGTCTCATTTCCATATCTGAGAATTCCAGATTCTGCTAGATGTGAGGGAGATTTGTGATTGTCCTTAGACTCTGCCTGACATTACTATGCACGCTTTTTTTTTTTACTTGCCACCAGTGCATTTGTGCCGTTTTCATCCTTTTAGCAGAAATGGCACAGAGGGAAACTTTGAACATTCGGAGAATCTCTAAAAGCACATGAGTAGTGATTATGTAATCCCCACATGGTGAGCTGGGAGTCTTGCTCTCCCCCCAGAATACAGCAGTCTGGTGGTACTACAAGCCTAATATGCAATGCATTCCTCTCCTCCAATTATTGTTTGCCCGCAATCCCCCTGCCCGCAAAAAAACAAAACCTGGCCTCATTTTGTGGAGACCAGACTAGCTTGCACATTAGGCAAATTAGGCATATGTTCAGGATGCGTTGTAAGTAGGGCAAACCTTCCCAAACTCTGTCCAAGGACATGCCCTGACATAATAGCTCACGTGCTACATTAAATAAATGGATGACATGACTGGAAGCTCCTGAAAGAGTACGTGTCTGAAGTGAGGAGGCAATCACTCCCAGCGCAGAGAAGCAGCAGGATTTCTCAGAGGAGGGATTCTGTTGTGCCTCTGCGCGAGTCGCCACTCACCTCCTCCCAGCCAAGAGGCATACCATTCAATAGTGTAGTCATTTAGTCGTGTCCGACTCTTCTTGACCCCATGGACCAGAGCACGCCAGGCACTCCTGTCTTCTACTGCCTCCCGCAGTTTGGTCAGACTCATGCTGGTAGCTTCAAGAACACTGTCCAACCATCTCGTCCTCTGTCGTCCCCTTCTCCTTGTGCCCTCCATCTTTCCCAACATCAGGGTCTTTTCCAGGGAGTCTTCTCTTCTCATGAGATGGCCATAGTATTGGAGCCTCAGCTTCAGGATCTGTCCTTCCAGTGAGCACTCAGGGCTGATTTCCTTCGGAATGGTTTGATCTTCTTGCAGTCCATGGGACTCTCAAGAGTCTCCTCCAACACCATAATTCAAAAGCATCAATTCTTCAGCAATCAGCCTTCTTTATGGTCCAGCTCTCACTTCCATACATGACTACTGGGAAAACCATAGCTTTAACTATATGGACCTTTGTTGGCAAGGTGATGTCTCTGCTTTTTAAGATGCTGTCTAGGTTTGTCATTGCTTTTCTCCCATTCAATAGTAACTCATAGATAAACAGCTGTGGACTAAAATCCCTTGGGGATTAGGGGCCCCAAAGCTTCAGTTTCATAGTAGATCTGCCCCTACTTAAGAGGAGGTCTTCTGAGGCCCCCTCCACACTTTTGTTACATTTTTTTTTACATTGTAACAAAATTGCACCATCAATTTGACTCCAGAACGAAAAGAATCAAACTGTGCTTAACTATCAGAAGTCTGGGAAACAACAGTCTGAGATGAACAGATGAATTGCCAGCAGATCTGACAAAAGTGTTGAGCAAGATACCACTTAAAGGATATATTGCTCATTATTTTTCCTTACTCCCCTTATTTTATATATTATTATTATTATTTATACCCCGCCCATCTGACTGAGTTGCCCTAGCCACTCTGGGTGGCTACCGACATATATAAGAACAAAATAAAACGTCAAAGATTACTAATAAAAATCTGATCCAATATAAAAAGTCACAATAACTTTAAAATAAACAACGTATATCAAATAAAGCAATATTCAATAATCCCTTACCAAATTAGTTTGACTTTCCATGCTTGTTTCAGCTGTATTTTTTTTTTTTTAATGACTTGTTCTACCATTCCCTAACCATAATAATTTATTTTACCAGTGTTTTGGCTTTTGCTTGGTGTTGCAATTAAAGTGGGAGGTTGTCTGGCTTTGTCATTCATTGCATTCATATTGAACTGGGTGAGGAAACCTTTCTCAGTCCAGAGGCCAGTTTCCCTTCCGGGCAACTTTCCAGGGGCCACATGCTACATTTCTGAAGGAGAAAGTGGGCAGACCAACAAATGCCAACTTCACCTTTGTACAGTAGCCCAGTTTCTACACAACAAACACCCTCTCTATCCTCCATCCAGGCAGAGGTGGTTTTATGGTAGCATGACCAGTACACCACAGAGGGCACCACAACAATGATGTAGAATGGAGTGCAGGAACTGTAGCATCGCGCAAAGTCCGCCACGAATCCAGGCAAGCAAGAGGCGACATCAGAGTTCAATGACACATGCCAGTCCAGCAAAAATAACTCAAGAAGGGTGTAGGGCCGGGCTGTTGAAAGGTGGGGCCTAGGGATAGGGCTGGACAGGAAGTGTGGCCTGGCCTGAAGGCCAGATAGATAGGTTTGGCGTAGGGATGTGTATAGATGCTAGAGGAGTATATATTTATTAGATATTATCCTTCCTTTCTCAGGTTTGTGAGTTCAACAGAGTGCATCCCTTTGCCGCTAAAAGGGAACCTGAGATAGGCTAGTTTTTGCCTTTTAGGTTTAAGTAATCCAGGATGCTTTAAGGCAGACTGGATTCTTTTGGTATTTCCCCCTTTAAACAATAATCATACAAACCGTCTTGTAGAGGGTAAAAATAACATCGACTCACTCAGAATACTTCTTGAAGAATCACAGATAGCAGCAGCTT